GTTCATGGGCTGCGGGGCGACCTGCTACGCGGCCAGCAGTGGCTCCTGAGTGTGCTTCTCGGGAGGGCGTCACCCGATCGTCCCCATCACACGGAGAGCTACGGAACAAGAACCCAAAGTCCCTCTGTGGTCCTTCCAGCATCGTCTCCCCTCCAGGCCAGCGTCTCGTGGCGATGTGACTCATCACCCTGTTTGTGGCCCATGTTCCCGCCTGTGCCTTCCACGCGGGGCATGAGCAGGGCACTCTGGCTGGGACGTAGAGTTCCAGCAGGTTCTAGGGGAAGAGTCCCCAGGCCAGAGAGCGGAATTCGAGAAAGATCGTCTGAGCCGTTGCTCGCGCCCCCGTCGGTCGGAACACGATGGCGTCTGCCAGCTCCCCTGGCGGTCACAGCGCGCCGACCTGTGCAGGCGGCCGGGCACCGAGCCCGTCTCGGCAGCCGGACTTGCTGGAGCCAGACGCTCGCGCGTGAGCGGTCAGCCAGCCCTCTCGGCCGTGCGGGGCAGGACACCCAGCACGGGAGCCCGGGGGGGCTTCACCTCGTGGGCCTCGAGCAGTCACGAAAGTGACGTCACGGGGCAGCTCTGCCCAGAGGGTTCGCAGGAGAGAGTTGGTGGGACAGTGCTGAGCCCTCATGCCGACCTGGCCCTTCCGGTGGCCCTGCTTCCAGGGCCGATGCAAAGAAACGACGTGGCCAACATTTCATTAAAACACCCTCCGTGCGAGTCCCCCGGACACTGCCAGTAGCGTCGAGGGCTCAGCCGGCTCAGCCGAGCTCGCACTGGCCTCTGGCTCAGGGGATAAGACCGACAGGCGGGTCCCTGTCCCCTGGCGCCATCCTGGCTGAACTGCAGCTGGCTGAGCAGCGCTTAGCCCCGCGTCGCCCAGAGCCCGGCCAGCCGCTCCCTTCGCCGCACGCTGGGGTGAGGGTGGGGTGACTCTGGGCAGAGTGGCCCCCTACCCTTTGGGGGCTCCGCCTGCTGCGTGTGTGTTGTGAACACGGGAACGGCCTTTGAGGCCCCGCGGCCCGAGCTTGCGTTTTGTCACCGTGGGTCACCGCGAAGAAGGCCGGTGGGTTCCCGGAACCGCGCGCGTGGTCAGCCCCGCCTCGTTTGACTCGCGCTGAACTCTGTGCAGCCGCCATCGGCGCAGCACCCCGTCCCCCGCCCCAGCTCCCCCAGGGGCCTGAGTGGGTGGCCCGCTCAGCCCGGCCAGCCCAGGGCCGGTCCCCTGGGGAGGGGTCACCTACGGCAACCCCTGCTGAGGGGAAAGTTACCAGTGTCCTAATGATTTCAGTTAAGTCTCCACGTGTAGAGTGGACGGTGACGAGCCGCGGGCGGCTTTGGGACGGAACAGACCGTCCTCCCCGCGACTTTGTGTCCTTCTCGGCTTCCTCGGCGTGAGACCAGAGGGGAGGGTGCGGTTCCCACTCCCGCCTCCTCGGCGGGACAGGTGGTCGACAGCTGTGGCCGAGCGGCGGGGAGAAGCCCCGCGGTTTCCGTCGGTCTCGCCAGGGGCCAAGGGGCGTTTCCCTTCTTGTCCCTGTGCACCCCGCTCCCCCACGGCGGGGTCACCCCATCCCGCCCCCCAGGCCCCCTGTGCTTCCTCTGCAGAAAGACCCACTTCCGGAG